CCCCCCCCCATGATTCAAGTATTTAATTGTGCTGTACTGTGCATCCATTTATTATGTCATGACAAACAACATCAGCAGTTTGAGGAATTTTTTTTATCAAAATAACCTGGGTTGCTATTTATTTGTAGGTTGGTTGATATTTAAAAATATTACATTATTTATTCAAACATCACATCTCAAACAATAATATAAGGTGGCCAAAGACCAAATTGCATGTTACTTGTATTACATAATATTCATTAAATAAGGATATATAGGGCCTATAATAAAAGACTAGACAGTTAAAATGTTGTAACATCATATAAAAGTACAAAATAGAAAAATCAAAATGGAAAAAAAAATAATACAACCAATAATTTAAGCAACTGAATAATAAAGAAAGGGGGCATCTCATATTGCCAAGTTTGCTGTTAGTCAAGTATAACATTATAATTTTAAAATTATAATATAAAGTATTGGAGAGCTGTGGACAATAGGCCAGGGTCTAAGCTCTAGTAGTACTGTAGTAAAGTTTGGTAGTAGGGTAGTTATTTATTAATAATCATTATGATTATTACAGTATTGAGGTGTAAAAATAAAGGAAAAAATAGACTATTTTGGTCTTAAACAGGTTGCTCTGCTAGGTAATTCTTCAGAAAATAAGAAGGCGAGCTTGTCATGCAAACTAGGCCTAGTGTCTAAGTGTTGCGTTGATCTTTCTTGCATCATGATTGATGATATGGGATAGGAGTGTAGGTCCATCTTCCAACTACGCCAAGGGTAGGCCTTGCTAAGACTGGGCCTAGAAAGAGTCGTGAGATGCATCCCTCCTTACAATTACCTTGATCGTTGTGGGTTACGTATGCAGTAATAATAGTGAAAACTTACTCTGAGAAGACCATAGTCTGCAATCGGTGAATCAAACCTATACTTTCTTGAGATCACTCTCACTATCCTAGACTTGCCACAAGTCTCTTATTTTTTAAAATTATTTTTCTCATTCTGGACAGCGCCACCAACGAGAAAGTTAATTTAGAGATAGACAGAATAAGCGACTTGTAAAACACTGAAGTCAGGCACCAGGATGCCAAAAGAATGACGTAATCTTATATACC